AGAAACAGTATTATTTTTTGTTCCGAGTGACATTAGCCTGCTTGAGTTTGTTCAATCTCAACATAATTGAAGATATGTATAACTGCATGTATGTTTAAGTGTATAGGATTGATAACCATATTTCTAAGTTTTTGTTGGATAGTTGAACAGAACTGGTTACAATCTCACTGTTTGAATCCCCAGTTTATAAGCTCCACTCTAGTATCTTGAATAACCAGTTGTTAGAGAACAATTTGTAATCATCAACTAGGATTTCTTAGTGTTTATTTTTTCTTTTAATGTATGTATGATTTCTACCCATTTTCTGTTTTGTTTAGTCTTTCTTTAAATAAAATTTTTTAAAAATCCCCCCCAAAAGAAGCTATACATCAGGGAACTGTTCCTGAACTCCTGAGATTCCAGTTGGTCTCAGATACAGATCTTATCATTAAAGATTTTTGGAAATAACATTAAAATATCCTTCCCTGTGTGGGATTCACTGAAAAATCATGGGTTAAAGTTTCTCTAAGGACACTGAAATCTGCCTAGGATAAAGTGTGGCCTAAAATTATACAGGAGAGAGATTTTGAAGGCTGTGTAGAGGAGACAGCTTGACCCTGTGGTTGATGATACTTCACTATAGCAGAGTCCATAGGCTTGTAGGTAGATGTAGGTAGATAGTGGTGATGTTAAGGAACTGTTGGATGAACACTCAGAGGAGTTATCTACAGAGGAATTCAAGCAACTTATGGCTGAGCAACAGAGAATAGCAGCTGAAGAGAAGGGGGAGTATAAACAATCAGCACAGTAAAGTTCTTCTAAAGTAAAGGAAATCCTGAGAAAATGGACAGAGTGATAAACATTTGACAGAGAAAACGCCAATCATTGCATTCACTTGGTTAATTGCAATGTCATATCACACTACAGAACAGTGTTAAAGAATCTTAGACAATATTTTATGTCTGAAAGATTCAGAATTGGTGAATCAGAAGCAGGTCCTAGTGGGCTACAGGGTCTCTCAAGGAGAGAAAAGATACCAGACAGTCAGATTCCTGATGTTCTTATGGAAGGGGACTCTCTTTCCAAACAATAACCATCTTTCATTTCATACTCCCTTCCTGGAAGTCAAATTTGTCAACTTGAATGGTAAGTACAGTATGAAATTGTAGTTTACAGTAAACTAGGCACATTTTATAACTTTTTGGTGAATACACTAGGAAAATTAATGATGTTTCTGGTAAATTCTGTATGTAATGGTACATGTTGCTAGGAAAAGCATAGTTAAGGCATGCTTTTCGGGGTGCATTATGGGTATTTCCATTATTTCTTATGGGAAAAATAGGCTTGACTTACAACCAACTCATGTTATAACCAGCCCTCTGAACAAATTGAAATCATATGTCAAGGATCCACTGTAAGCAAAATGTTATCCTCCCAAAACAATTCCATTAATCTCATTAGTGGACTTGTATTATTTTTAAAGGTATGCAGTCAAAATTGTAGTTTTCGGACTTCCGGGAGAACATGGCGGACAGATAGCAGCAGCTACAGAGGCTCTCTGAAACACCCAGTTTAGAATTCAGGAATGGTGCTGAGTAAGGTATCATAAGCAGGAGGAGATATGCCGCGGTGACCCAGGAACGAACTGGGCTGAGAGAAACCAACTGGGAATGCAATCCTGGTGCTATAACAGGAACAGATAAAGCCTGGAAGCTGGAGCCCGCGCCATTGGAAGCCGCGATTTTGGTTTCCCGCTGCTGCGGCTGCGTCTGGATCAGCTCGGCAGGGAGAGAGACGCATGGAAGCTCTGAGAAGGGGAATCGGTGAACGGAGTTGAGAGTGGGACAGGCGGGGAGCCGTGCATCCACCTCCAGTGAGTGAGGGAAAACTGGGACTCTGCCACGGTCCAGGAGACTCCAACAGAGGACATTCTGGGACCGGGAAGACTTGTGGGAAAGGGCGCTGCAGTGACTTCAGTCACGTATCCCCCTCTCAAGCAGGATTGGTGAGCAGTGCCTAGCCCACGTGACGCTGCTGGCTGAGATCCAGTAGGCTAGCACAGCCCAAGTCCCAGCTCCTAAAGGTAGATTGACCTGGAGTGGCGGGCCCCGCATAGGCTGCCCGGTCTACAACTTCCTGGTGCCCTGCGGTGGGTGGGAACACCTAGCCAGTGCAATTCAATCAGACTGTGGCTGACAGGGAAGGAAACTGGGCCTCCTATATACACTTGCATATATAAGTAACAAAGAATATGGGAAGAGGCAGCAACAAGAAAGGCTCCTCGGCCCCTAATCCTGAGAAAGAGACAACAGCAGACACAGCACCAATAGACATAAAGCGCTATCTCGAGAGCCTCATAGACAAGTTCAGGAATGAAGTTATTAATGACCTGAAGCTAGAAATAAGCAGAATAGTTAGAGAAATGCTAAGCACCACCCAAGAAAAAACAGATGGTGGAATGGAAGAACAGAAAAAGAGGGGAGAATTGTTTAATGGAGAAAATAGAGAAAGCATAGAATATGTGAAGCAGGTTCAAAGAGACTACCAGGAAACTAAAAACTCTATTGAAAACTGGCATAACAGCTTGAAAGAAACTAAGGACAGATTATCTGAACTGGAGGGCAGAGTTGTAATATGGGAGCATGAAATGAAAAACTTCTTAAAAATAACAAAGAAACAAACAGCAATAATAAAAAGACTAGAAGATGATAAGAGGGTCTATAACTTAAGAATTAAGAACATAAAAGAAGAAGTAGGGACACAAACAAATGAACTACAAAAGCTACTCACAGAAATAATCCAGGAGAATTTTCCTAATTTAGCAAAAGGTAAAGATACTCAGTTGTATGAAGCATGCAGGACCCCAGCCACCTACAACCCAAACAGAGCAACACCCAGGCATATAATAATTAAAATTCCAGAAATCCAATACAAGAACAGAATACTAAAAGCCGTCAGAGACAAGAAACAGATCACTTACAAGGGAACACCCATCAGAATTACAGCAAACAATCAAATCACGAAGAGCGTGGGGGGAAATAATTCAAGCTTTGAAAGATAATAATCTCCAGCCAAGATTGATATATCCTGCACAACTATCCCTGGAATTTGATGGAAAAACAAGGTGCTTCCAGGATAAAGAGGAACTAGGGGAATATGCAATCACCAATTCAACTCTACAGAGAATACTGCAAGATATTCTAAAAAAGAAAAATACGAAAAATCCAGAAGTAGCAACAGAGAGGCCACAATGAATGGAGCAGAAAACAAAATGAAGAAGACAAACTGACAACTAATGACAGAAAAAGAGCTCAACAGAAATGAGGCAGAGAAGATTGGATGATAGGAACAGCTATATTGGAGAAAATGATGTCTTAAGAGGTAATACTGATTTAGTATCATCTTGTTTTGAAGTCTCATCAAGCTTTTGTTCTTCAGTCTCCATTGGTCTGAACAGGTGGTATCTTATTGGATTTTATTATATATGATTATATAAGCAAAATCTTTTATAGACAAGGAGATTATACAGAAACCATTGTTCATTTTCTGTTAGTTGATTCTAAATACCCTGTAATACTGTCATTCTCTTAAATGGTTTTACATTGTTTTGATATATTTGATGCTACAGTATACAAAGTTATACTCAAAGATTTCAAGGAAAGAGACAATATGGTAACTTTTATGTCGGGATAATCTTGTGGTGAAACACTATTTTGCTTAAATGGTTATGTTTTGATCTGCGCTGTTTTGCTGTTATGCCCTCTTTTATCTCAATCTCCATTTTATTATTTACTTTTTTATCCTTTTAATTAAGGGAAAAATAAATTAAAAGATAGCAGGATATATTATGGTAACCCATTCTGACTTTCCATTATCTTGATTTAAAGCCCTTTATTGCTCTCACCATCTTGTTTTGACTGATGTTCCTCTATTCTGTTTTGCTTGATAGTACCAGGTTCGCAAGTTTCGGCAACAGCTGTGAAGATAGTGGGATTCATTATGATGCCCATTCTGGTTGACTATTATCTACTTTTGAAGACCTATAATGTCTCCAATATTTTGGTTTTGTTGGTTTTATTCTTTACTGTTTTGTTCAAATTTTATTATAACTAATGATATAGGCAATTCTATTAGAGATAGCAGGAGGCATTATGGTAACCATTGTTGATCACCTAGTATTATGCTTTTACATTATCTATTACATCCACCCCTTTGATTTGACTGACTGTTCTGTTATGTCACTTTTGGTTCTACTCTCTTCCAAAAAAGAACTGTGGGAGCAACAAAACCCAAAATGGGTAATTGTCATTGTACAAAAGAGAGGAAAAGATAGTGCTCTAAACGATATAACTGCATGTATATTTAAGTGTATAAGATAGATAATGATATTACTGAGTTTTATTGGATCATTGAACAGAACTGTTCGCAGTCTCACTGTTGGAATGTCCACTTTATAAGCTTTAACTTTGTAACTTGAACAATTATTTCTAAGATTAAAAACTGTAATCCATTAACTAGTGATTTCCTACTGTTTATTTTTTTCTGTAAATCTGTATAACTTGTACCCTTTCTCTGCTTTTTTTTCTTTTTCTCCTTAAATAAAAAACAAATTGTAGTTTTCATTTCAACAATAAAATATTTGAGGAAATTTTTTTCCTTTTATAGAAGTACTTATAACGTGTTTTGCCTCTGAACCTATTGTTTATTGTCTGCCCTTTACAGACCTTTACCCAACTCAAGGTGGCTTCACTTTGTACCACTTTACTTTTGCCAATAATTGTAAAAGCAAAAGGGGGAGACTAGTTAGACCTAAAGAGTAGTACTGGTTATTAAAATATTAAAAAAAAAAACCACAAAACCCCCGAAAATGGGTTATTCCCGTTAGTCTTAGAATTTAAGAGCCTTGATCATTCATTGGGTGAAGGGTGTGCCAATCTTAACTTTTCAGCAAATGAGCGTAGACCTTGTCATGAACGTCATGACCCCCAACCTCTGCCTCGTGGCGTGTGGCCATTTTGTCTCTCAGTCGGAGTCGTTAGAGGCACGGGTCGGACGTGTCCGTTGGTCTCCTGCCCTTCTCATTTCGGGGTGTCTCCAAGAACCAAGGTAGACTCTTGTTTGGTTAACAGTGGGTTTCCCCCAACACCCCAACCTCGCGGCGGGCCTCTCCTCTCCTCCCCTCCCGACCACTGTCTGGCCTCTCCTCAACAGGCCAACCGCCAACGGTCTACACCTTGTGGGCGCCATCTTTGCTGCCGTTGGTGAAGGCTCTTTGAGGCACCAGTTAGTGTCATGTCTGCCACGGGGGGTGAAGACCCAACCCCAAAAGAGCCAGAAAGCCCGGTGAGCCCCATGGCCGAGCGGTCTGAGGCAACTGGAGTTGTTGAAGGGTTGGGGCCTGATGCCAGCGCGGCCCAGGCGAGTTGCGAAGCCCAGGTGTCCTCTGAAATCCAGGTCCTAGGAGCCGGGGCGGCAGAGGAGGGCATGGGGCCTGAGGTAGCGCAGCCCGAACACGGGGCCGGGGCCGCTTTGTCCTCCTCATCTTCCTCCTCCTCCATTGGGCCAGCGGAGGAGCTGGAGAGGGGCGCAGACCGGGGGCCGAACCGGCTGGTCAACCCCCGGCAGTTCCCTTTGATCAACTTTCGAGTCACGTTCGTGGAGCTGGTCAGCTCGCTGCTGCGCCGCGTGCACCACAACGACCACCTCCTGATCCGCCCCTACGAGAATGTGCAGGTGCTGCGCCGTCGGCCCCCGCACGCCGCCACGGCCTCCCGCCAGCGCCCCCGCCATGGCCGCAGCTCTGGCCCGCTGCCGGTGCCCCAAGCGCCCTTGTGTTCCAGTGCCGGGGTGCCGCTGCAGGGCGAGGGCGAGGGCCGGGCCGCCGCGGCCATCTTGGCGGCGGCCGTCGAGGAGCAGGCAGCCTGCGGCGGCGGCGCTGCCGGTAAGCTGGCCGAGGCCCAGGAGGCCATAAAGGAGACAGCGCAGAGCGGAGAGCAGAAGGATGAGGACGACATGGACGACGAACAGGCAGAAGGTGCGACGGGACGGGGATGCCCGCCAGCGGCAGGGCCGGGGAGGCGGGCTGCGGCGCCTTCGCTGAGGGGAGGCAGCGGGCCCTGCTCCGCGCGGCCGTGGTCGGGACGCAGAGGGTCGGCCTACCGCCACCTGCAGGCCAGGCGCTGCGGTGCCCTTCCTGCTCCCCCCCCAGGGTAAAGCACGGTGCTGCCATTGGCCGCAAATGGGGCTATGTTGTCTGTGGGTGTCTGCTCCAAAAGTCTGTTCCCTTTCACTAAAGCAGCAACTCAAACTCTGTGTGAAAACCCGAGTGATGCACAAGGTCTTGGAGGTGAGGAACAGAAAGAAGCAGAGGAAGAAAGTAAGAAAGACAACGAAAATCAACAAGAATGGGAAAAGGACACAGACCTGGCAGGCGGCAGCCTTGAAAAACCCAGGTATCTGTCTGTACATTGCAGTATCATTCAAAATTCCTGGTATTTACCTGCAACAGCTTGTTTTTTAAATTGTAGGAAACTAAGAATGCTTATTTAAAATTAATTAAAAACACAGTTTTACCTACTTAGAACATTACTGGTAAATTAGTATACCTAGTAATATAAAATACAGTGCATTCTGAAATAGTGTTTCATGAATACTCATCTGAGGTCATTTGTCCTCTAACTGTAAGACTCCTAACAAGGGGTACATACATCAGACCTAGGACCTGAAACCCTGGGCTGGGCTTTTATTTCATTAGTTGATCACAGAAATGCAGGCTCCTTTACTAACCAAGAACCAGTGTCTTTTAGGATGTGACAACTACTAATTAGCAAAAAGTTAGCAACTTCAAATAGGACCACATTCAATAGTTAATACCTAAATATTTGTACACTTGTACATTTTTATGTGAGAAGAATATTGTGATTCTTTTCATTCAATGATATTAAGTATATCTTGTCTTTGAGTTTATTTATTTATTTTATTTATTTGGGTTTTTTGAGATGAGGTTTCATTATGTAGTTCAGCCTGGCTTTGAACTCATGTAGCCCTGGGTGGCCTTGAACTCATAGCAATCCTCCTGCCTCAGCCTCCCAAGTGCTGAGATGAGAGGCATGCACCACCATATTCAGCATTTCTGAGTATATTTAAATAATCAGGGTTTTTTTCCTTTTTCATAGCTGTTCATTTCATAAAAGGGTCTTTTTCATATAGGACAAATGGAAATCAAGCATTTGAGAAGGAAAGGGAGTAGTATTTTTTTTGTAACCAGCACAGACTTTTAAAGCCAGAGAGATGCATTTAAATACCAGAATGGCCTTTCCAGACAACTGACAGAGTACCCCAAGCATTTCTGGCACTAGACAAAAGGGAGATAAGGTTGGTGAGATCACATGATTTGTGAAGTGTTTGGTTGCATGAGCACCCTAACAACCAAGGGTTTGAGGTATAAGAGGAAAATGGGTTGTTTTGACCTGAGATGCAGCACAAATGCGTAGAGGTTATATCCTTAGATGTAGAAAATAGTTAATATTTCACAATTAATAATTTTCTCTCATTTTTATCTGTAGCTCAGAAGACTAGAAAGAAAAGGATGGAGAAAAAAGAAAAGAAAGAATTCAACACGTCATTCTTTTTTGGTTTTTCAGTGTTTGTAATAAGAGAATCTTATTTACGTTAACTTCATTCTAAAGTTTGTCACCTCAAATATATTATTATACCTTTTTCCTTTGTGTGTTACATATATAGTGAAAGCATTTGTTCATGTTAAAAATAAGTTTGTTTTAGGCAACTAAGTGGAATTATAGGCAGATTGTTTTCAAAACAACACTAAAATCTGTTTTACTTCTGTCATTTGAAATGAGTAACTTTCCAACACTTGATAAACTTAAATTCATTTATTGCAGCACAGTTAATTAAAATGTGAAGTTTCAAACTTTTTCCAAGGAAAGAAATGAATATCAAAACTTCTTTAAAACTAAATTGTATCAGTCATTTAGACATCTGTGGCTATTGACATGTAAAATGTGACTAATCTGACTTGAAATGTGCTGTGCAAAAAATAGTGTAAGCTATCTTAGTAACTAATTGCATATCAATATTGTATTAGGTTAAGCAAAGTGCAGTATTAAAATTACTTTCAACTTTTTCAGTTTTTTTTAATGTGACTGCCAAAACATGTAAGTTACACATTTAGGTCAAGTTACATGTCTGTTGGACAATATTGCTGTACAACAGAATTTTGAAGGAAACCTTATGAGATGGCCAGGTTGCCTGGAGGCCACAAGGTGTTGGTGATCCCGTGCCCAGACTTTGATTTGGGGTGGTAGCACTCCAAGTATAGTCTCTGGACTAGCAGCATAAGCATCACTTGAGTACTTGGTAGAAATGCAAAAATTCTCAGACAACATCAGTTACTTCTGAATTAGTGCTGTGAAGTAGGCCCAGTGATGTACCTATGATTTTTTAACCAGCCCTCCGAGGGATTGTGAGACCCACTAAAGTTTTAGAACTACTGGTTTAGAACAATAGGGAAGTAGCTGACACTCACCTGAAGTAGGACTAGCCTTAGTTCACTGGATTGGAATTGTAGATAAACTGAACAAGAAGTGACATGGGCCAAAGATTGGGTGATAACAGAAAATGCATAAAGGAGAAGGCTAGATCCCAAGGGATATAAAAAGACCATATATGCATGTAAATGAAGTGTAAAAACAATGCAAAGTGAACACCATGTAGTGACTGTGCACACGTATCTGGAGTAACAAGCATGAATGTGAGAGATGCACATGAAGGTAGCATGTGTGGGTGTGGCTGGAAAGATAAACACTTCAGGATGGGGAAAGAAGACAGTGCACACATGGATGCATATGATAGTATTATCCACACATTTCTATAGGTTTGAAGTATTTCTTAAAAAATGATACAGAAAAAGGAGAAAATAGGTTTAACCTTTAAACTATTTAAGGGGAGGAAAGGTAGTGATAGTTGATCTGAGTAGAGGATCAGAGGAGGGAAGGGCACCAGTATTTGAGGCTAGACTACCTGGTTATAAAGATTTTGTAGGTTGCTCACTGTAACACTAATACTTTCGCTCATATACTGTGGGAGCATGTTTTATATTCCAGTTTATACTAGCATGATTTTTGAGGTTGAAATTCACTTAACAAGATCAATCATTGTAAACATTTCATTGATGATTAGTGCATTTGCAATTTTATGTGTCTTCCAATCCAAACCATATACTCATTAAGAAGCCATTCTCCCTTTCTGCCTCCCCCAAGCCCCTGGCAACCACCAATATGCTTTCTGTCTTTATTGATTTACCTGTTCAGGGTATTTCATATAAATAGAAATCGGATTTACCCATTTAGCATAATGATTTCATGATCCATTCACATTGTATCAGTACTTCATTCCTTTTTAAGACAATAATATTCTACTATATTTACATAAGGCAGTTTGTTTATCCATCCTTCTGTCGATGGATATTTCAGTTATTTCCATCTTTTAGCTATAGTGAATAGTGTTGGCATGAACATGCAAACACTTGTACATTATTTATATGTACATCTACTCCCTTTACTCTGCCACTTCTAGATTATGAACTTCTGAATGGTTGGGAGCTAAAAGGGTTTTTCTTATTTTCCTTTCCCAAAGGCCGAGGCACTGAGTTTTCTCCTTACTAGGTGCTCACTTGGGGTCCATTAAAGTAAACAAAGCACTTTCACAACTCCTTTTATAGTGACTACTGTTGATATTTTAAAATGTACCATCCTAACTGGGCATGGTGGTGCACGCCTGTAATCCCAGTACTCAGGAGGCTGAGGCAGGAAGATCACCACAAGTTCGAGACCAGCCTGGGCTACAAAGTGAGCTCGAGGTCAGCCTGAACTGCATGTGAGACCCTGTCTCAAAAAGAAAAAAAAAAGTAACATCACTACAGTACTCCTTATGGCTAGACTTACATAGTAAGACAAACGGGGCCAATTGTCACCATTACATAAACTGAAAGGGCTGGCGAACATACAATTCCCATATAGTGTGATTTGAGGGTTTCCAAAATTGTTCATGTTTATGTTGTATAAGTAGTTCATATAGTATTGTTCTCAGAACTAAGCAAGAAAGTTGTATTTTCTAAGCTTCAAGCTTTAGAGGTTCCACTTTGGCTCTCTTCCATCCATGCTCCTCTTTATAGGGCTAAGAACCTATGGAAACAAGGGTTACTGCCCTGCTAGACCACCCTCCTGAAGAGTTCCAGGGACCCATGAAGAGTTCCAAGCTTGATGCCAGGACCTGCATACTCCTCTCAGAACTTTCCTTGGGAAAGCTGACTATCCTAGTAGGATTTGTATCCTACACCTAAGAGGTTGCTTTATGGCCAGACTATGGCATGGCCTGTCCAGAAGCCAGGCCAGAACCAGAGGAGAGGAATCAGGAGGTTTAGAGGAGAACCATATCATTGTGATTAAGACTTTAAGGAGTCTAAAAATTCTTAAAATCTAGCTTGGCCTTTAAAGCCATCATAAAAGCACATCTGTCATGGAAAGAGATAAATCATTAGATAAAGCATGTTGTGTTAGTTGGTTTACATATGAATCCCCAACTGAACTCCTGCGCTGTACCTGGGTAAAACTCTGGCTGGCCAGGCTAAGTATCTGGTCTGGAGCCTTTTCCCTCCCTCACTACATGCCACACTGGGCACAGCGGTCCCCTGCTTTTGAAAATGGCCCGTTCCAGGAATCCAGTCAGATTTAGATTTAGTTCTGGAGCCAGGCTGGGTTACAGCCGCCACCATCAAGTCCAGTCTTCTCACCCATCTGCACCCCCTCACAGCTCACTTTGTTCCCCAGGTGTTCAGACGAAAAACCTCAGCAGCAGCAGCAGCACTTCTCCCCATAGCTGTGTGCACCTAGAAGCCATCCGCCCTGCCAGGCACACGTGCATGCAGACCCCCCCTGTGCAGCACAGCCTCCGAAGGACTTCTGCTCCTCCAGCAACCCTCAGGTCCCCCGAGTCGTTACTGTCCTGTTAAATGTCTCCCCTCATGCCACAGACAGACCATGACAGACTACAGACAGACTTTACTGAATTTATTTGCTTTGCGTATACTAATTGTCTATATCAAAAAAATGAGAAAATTAAAAGAAGCTAAAAATTTACCAGAATGTGCCCTTAGATATCTAAAAAACTCATCATTTAAAACAATAACCTTAACAATGGAAAAGAAATCATTAATCATTAAAAGAATTCTCAGTAATAATAATGTTAAAAAAAGTCCACTCCTAAGAAAGTATCATGATATATGAGTAAAGAAAATCTATATAAATGAACTATTCACTATAGAAATATAAAGGGAATAAAATCCAGTTATTCAAAAACATAAAGATACAATATCAGGAAAATAGATGTTTCATAGAGAAAATGCAAAATCTCACATTTGGTTGTACAGTGTCATATTATACCATCAGCAGCAGAAACCAAAGTTAATTCTGAGATCTCACTGTCTCCCTATACTTTTTTTGCACTGGATAGTATCCTACTCAAAATGCACAGGCACAATTACAAAGGCAAGCCCGAACTTTTGTTTAAACAAAGTAGCCCCAAAGTGACAGGCCAACAGGGTGATACCTATCCTAAGAAATCACTTCTGTGCTAGGGACGTGAGCTAGGTTTGCTGCCCATGTGTCTAAAGGGAGCGCTCCCTTAGTGCTTGGTGGACTTGGGGTGCAATAAAGGGAAGCACATGAAAGGAAGGTTTATCTAACTTCCAGAGAGGCTGGATGTGCCACTACAGGGTGTGCACCTTGGAATTCAAACCAGTTGAGGAACAGATTCTGGAGGTAAAAGAGACCCTCGTCTTTCGTTCTCGCTCTGGGAGTTTTTAGTGGAGCTGTGCCACCAAGAAAAAGACTGTGGCAGGATGGGGCAGGAAGAATCAAACTGTGCTCAGTTATCACCCCCCCCTTATAAAGCCAGCCTTCTCATCCTGACGTTTCCTCCCCCTCTCTGACCTTTGGGTTTCCCTCTTCCTGGTGGATGGAGTGCCACAGCAGGATATGTATGTTTGGAGGCATGTTTACCTTTCTGAGAAACTGGAGAGGGTCCCAGTGGCGTTGGGACAAAGGGCACTGATAGACTAATCATCCAGGTGAGTACAATAATCTTCAAAAAATGTTCTGCCTGGTAGGAGGCACATTGTCTAAAGTTAAAATATTTCAAAGTTCTACAGTAGTGCAAATATTTCTACAGTTTTTCTAAAGAAAATGGTAGCTCTCTGGATGCTGGCAGTGACTATATTGAAAGTTAAGCATTAATAGTATTTATTTCACTCAAATAATTAAAAGTTTTAGTTCTCATCTATAAAACTCTTCTGCTTAATGTAATCATTGCGTAGAATTACTATAGCTATCAGCAATTATCATTTAAAATGTTGGTGCTACTGCACCTAGGAGCTATTTAGTGCATGACCCCTGCGATGCGGCTCCATGCTTTGGCTTTCTTCTTGGCAATGGAGAACCAGACAGGCTCAGCGGCTTCATCTGACTTAACCAGCTCATCAGAGCGTTGGAGCCCAGACGGAAGGCTTAAAGATCTTTTCATTTCTTTTCCCGTGGCAGATGTGTTACGCATCTTCTGATCTGCAAATACAACTGGAACTACAGCAAATAACACACAAATAGTAAGATGTCCCAGAAATATTGGGCTATGTTTATAGGGTGAAATAAAATGTTTTACCCTTTCAGGTTTCCTCTGAACCCCTTCTCTTACTACTCTCCAATTCCTGCTCCCATGGATGCCGGGCTTCTAAAAGACAGTTCAGAGGCAATGCCATGAGTGGCATGTCAAAGGGGCAATATCAGCATGGCTGTCAACCCCCAGGGGCCAGGACATGGAAAAGGCAGAGAGGTAATTCTTAAAGCTGTAACTGCTAGGCTTTGGTCATTATTATTAGATTGTCCTGAAGTTTTGCACTGAGACTGGAAGGGAAACATTGTGTCTGTTTAGTTTTTAAAATTTCCATTAGGTAATATTATCATTTGTTTTGCCAGTCTGTGGCACTGTATGAAATGAAATGCCTGATGACTCAATAGATCTACCTAACGAAAGTCCATGCTAAACTATGTAGCAACCAGTCTGCCTCTGAAGACTACTTCCCTGATTTCTCAGTTCCTTTCCTTCCCTCCCTCCCTCCTTCATCTTGCTCTGTGGCCAACTGACTCAGTAGTTTAGACTCGACAGCCAATAGTTCTCAGTCCCAATGTTCATGCCATTTCCTGAACCAACTGAATTAGAATCACAAGGGATGGGACCAGGGTGACCATTAAGTTTTTTTTTAAAAAAATGCTTTACTAGGTGATTCTAATGCTCAGAGTTGAGAACCACTTGACAGGAATACAAAACCCATGAGGCATTTAGCAGGTCAATTATTGCTATTTCGTGGCCAATGGATTCCTGAATTCCTAGTCTGATTTCTTCACGAAAGGGATTAAGAGGAAGGACAAGTTTATATAAATCAATTCTCTCCTCCTGCTGAAAAAAATCCCTCTGGAGCACAACTCTTATTGATCATATCACATTCTTTTATATCCCATCACAGTGTTTTTTTTTCTTTTCCCCATGTCTCACATTCCTGTTCAGAATGCAGAGAACTGAGCCAGGTGTGACGATACATGCATGCCTTTAATCTCAGAACTTGGGAGGTTGAGGCACAATGATTGTCATTAGTTCAAGGCCAGCCTGGGTTACTCAGTAAGTTTAAGCCTGGCCTGAAGTACTGAGGAAGAACCTGTGGATTATTTTCAACAGTTTCATTGGAAGCAAAGCAGGTGAAAAAATTCTACTTTACTATGAGCTGCAAAGTGACATGGGACACTCCTCTTGCATATTGAACCAATCACAAGAATGGGTTAGTGAGTGATCACAGTTTTATGCTTCAACAGCTTCTTTGGTGAGATGAAATATGGGAGACCCTCTGAAACTTATATGAGGGCATACATTAGCTACGATAATTGGATTTTCCTAAAGCAAGCTAGCATCTGTTATCGTCTCATGAAAGTCATGAGATAATAATGAAGGAACTGTATTAATTGAGGTTGAAATTGCAAATGTTTCACAACATTCCTCTGAGCTATCTTTTGGGGTAGTCAGGGTATGATCTTTTACCTGATTTGGTAGGCATAGAGGACTTTGTCTGTTCCTTCCCCTGTCCGTGGATACTGGATGTGAGAATCTTTTTTGGTTGATTTTCATTTGCAGAGTCAGTTCCCTTTAATACAAAAATGAAAACAGAAGGCTTGGAAGTCTGAACATAAAAACCAGCAAGTTACTTACTCAGAACATCATATGGTACAAGCCCTGTCCCAGGTACTATTAGTTCAAGACTAATCAAGAGAAAAGAGATAGATGGTGTAGATACGGATATGGATATGGACAAGAATATGAGTACAGAAGAAAAGAAATAGCACTAAGACCCTTGGTTTTGACTTTATGTTCACAAAACCTAAATTGGCTTAAGTTTATCACCTTTCAGACCTGGAACCAAAAGCTGTCTAATTCACCAAGTAGTAGAAACAGAATAATATGAGAATTATGTAAGAACAATTGTTTCCGTAGCACTTTGCCAGCAACCTAACAGAACTGATGACTACCAACAGATCTGCTCAATTCACTGAAATGAGTTCATAGGATTTCTAGTTTGCAAAAACTTACTGACGTACAACTAGAAGCATTTCTTTCACTGGAAAGTTATCTAACGGTAGGTCTTTTCAAAATTTTACAGTTTAGGATATGCAAATGAACCCCTCCAAAAGTGGTCTGGATTAATAACTTTATATGCACTGAAAAAAATGTGTTTATCCTTGAAAAAAAAAACTTTAATCAAGATGGACTTTACAGCTGTATGGTCCTTTTCCCACATAAATGCTAATTGTGAAAAACATTTTTTATATTGGGGATTAAACCCAGGATCTTTGCAATGAGCTACATCCCCAACCCTAACTTTTTTACTTTTGACACAGCATCTTGCTAAGTTGCTAAATTGTCCAGGGTTACTTGAACTTGTGGGTCTCCTACCTCCTGGATCACTAGGAAAAGATCTTAAAAGCAAAAGTTTAAATAGATTTTCACATGATCCATCAACAAATTTAGTAACCACTTAAAAGTTGAGGATCTTCCATGTATTTCTTTTTTTTTTTTTTGTCTTTTTCCTTTTTTTTTTTATCGGTACTGGGGATCGAACTCACAACTGCCTGCTTGCAAGGCAGGTGCTTATGCCGCTAAGCTAAATCCCCAGCCCCAAGCTAAATCCCCAGCCCCTGTATTTCTAATATGTAAATTTAGTCAGCTCTTGCATCAGTTTTCATAAGAAGGGAACAAGGCATCATCCCATCAACCCTGAAGCCTTTAGCCTGCTTCATCACATTTTTAACATACAAGTAGGTGCCACACCAAACCAAATCTATGTACAGAAATCCAAACATCAAACACAAACTGTTGTGTACTGATATGGGAAGCTAATCAGAAATAAAATGTTCAGTGAAAAAGTAATGCAATAATTCTTTATCTGTGTAGTTTCACTTTCCATAGTTGTACTTACATACAGTTAAGCATGGTCCAAAAATACTAAGTAGAAAATTTCAGAAATAAAAGAAAAGGTTAAGTTTTAAATTGCATCCTATTTTCAGTGGTATAATAAAATCTCAGGCCATACTACTCCTAGTGGGACAAGCATCACTCCTTGCCCAAGCACATACTGCCATGTACTGCCTACTTGGTAGTCAGTGAGTAGTCTGTCAGTTACGTGTCAGATTGACTGTAGTGAAATCACAATGTTCATGTTCAAGTAACCGTTATTTTACTTAATAATGGCCACAGAGTTAAGACAATGATGTTGGCAATTCAGATATGGCAAAGAGAAGCCATAAAGTGCTTCCTTTAAGTGAACAGGCAAGAAGAAAGAAAGGTACAGCAAGAAGAAAATCATATACTGAGTTTGCTAAGAAAAGATGAATCTTCTATCTGTGAAATTGTGATGGAGGAAAAAGAAATTTATACTAATTTTGCTTTTTTACTTCAAACTTAAAGTTATAGTCACATAAGTGCTTAGTTAAGATGGAAGAGGAATTAAATTATAAGGCTCAGTGCTATCTGTAGTTTCAGGCATTCCCCAAGGGTCTTGTCATGCATCGCCTGTGGTTAAGGGGTACTACTATATTTATAGTATAGGGATGCTACTTATATAATACATTTATATAATATATATAGAGCATCTGTTGGACACTCAACTCTTAGCCCAGTGGTTACTTTTGTTATTTTTTAATTGCTTTTTTCTTTTAAAACTTTATTTATCAACCAAGTTCATGGAATCCTACTCTAGAATATTTAGGACAGGATTTGATTAATAGACTCTATCCCCATAATAATTACTTTTAATAAACTCTTTAAATGCATAGAGCATTTTATATAAGTACAAAACCAAATCTTGCCCCCTGAAGTCTCCTTGACTTGATTAATACTCCCAAATGATATGGGGGTTGCTGTACATCTGGAAAATTCACAATGGAAGCTTAATCAGTGGCTTCAGAACCTTTTGGGGTGTTTTCTGGGTGGCCTCAGGTCTTGTCCCATATCTAGGCTCCTTGGTATCAGTTTTGGCTCCAGCTCTGCTCCTGGTTTTGGTCTCTTTCGCAGGAATGTTGACCTCGGAGCCCCTTTGTTTCTGTCTTGCCATAGTAAACCACGCTGGATCTGAGATGTAACAATCTGATTGCTGACCAGATTTTCCTAAGAAAGGAATAAAAAGTTAGAATGAAAGCAATGCAGGCAGGGGTTTATCTGGTGGGGAGTTACTCACAATGATGTCCCAAATAGAATCCTTGTTAATTGTCAGATTAAAATAAACAGGTATCAAGTAAAAAAGGATCCCCTTCTCTTGGGTCCTTTCTACACTTGGCAAGACAGGAGCCCCTTGGGTATTTAAGCTGCGCCTCGCCAGCATGGTGGCATACACCTGTCATCCCAGCACTTGGGAGGTTGAGGCAGAAGGTTCACTGTGAGTTTGAGGTCAACCTGGGCTACATAGTGAGTTCAAGACCCTGAACTACACAGCAAGACCCTGTCCCAAGGCAACAACACCACTCCCAAAACAATCAAACAAAAAACCTGGGCTTAAAAGTGAGCACAATGACCCTTTACTGGACCCTTCCTTTTCTTTGCCTCTCCAACTTTAAATCAGGGCATGACAACTGTTTCTGGGGCATTGAGACAGGTCCTAAGCAGTCAGAGACTTAAGTCATTAAAGTCATGCCTTTAACTCCAAGGCAAATCTTACGGACTCTGTTACTACATAGTTCCTCACGCAAGTGTGTGGTTACACAGGTGTGGCTAAAGTATGGACCAAATTACGTGGGTGAGAGTGAAGGTACAAAGCTTTGGGAGAGAATCATGCTCAAAAGGTCACCTAGCTCTGAATTCTTAAGACATTCATGTGAGGAAAGAAACTGGAGGTGCATTTACAATACATTAAGATTTTAGGTCAAAAGTCTGAATATAGCACTTTTAATGAATTGTCCTCTAAAAATCCCTGTTCGTTAGGAGAGGTATAATACATATAAAAGCAGTTTGTGAAAGCTTACTATTCCACTACAAAGTATGAAGTATAGAGGGTGGGGCAGAGAAAATGGGAAGATGGGCACCTTTTTATTACAGAATGTGGAGGGATGGCCAGCACAGCACTTCCTTGGCAAAAGGAAGATTTGAGATTACCTCCAAATCTATGAATTGAGAATGGGGCACTATTCTGCCTCCAAATCCCCAGGCCCGCCCAATCAAAGGAACAACATGGTCGACAAGGCTAGAATATGCTCTGAGAACCATTCAAGGCTTTCCTCTCCAGTTCTTTCATCTACTTAGAACCTACTCACCCTGCAAAGTTAAAACTCTTACCTAGGGTCCTGTAGTTTGGCTGCTTCTTGGGCATGCCTTCATATTTAGCCTTGTTCTGATGCTTCTCCCCAAAAGTAGATGGCATGGTGAAGCTGTCTGAGGTGTTTGGCAATCCCTGGGAAGTACCTCTTTTAATTTGCTGTTCTCTGTATGACATTGGTCCCAAGGGCACTGAAAAAACCTGGGTGAAGTTACCTGGTTTCTCATTCTTACGCCTGCGTAGAGAAGACATTCTTTTCAGGTCAACTCCAGAAAGATTTTCAGTATGACCTTCTTGGGCAGGTAAGTATAAATGACCATCATTGTTTCTATCACCACTCTGAAATATTTCCTCCGTATAGTAAGTATCTTCAGAAATGGGCACATTCCAAGTAGAAGCAGTGGTAATCTTCCCCAGCTTAACTGCTGAGGTTGGGATGCTCTTATTGAAGTCTTCAAATCCTTTGTTGTGTTTCCTGTTTTTCTTTGGAGTAACCTGGCGTTTTGTTAGGGGCCAGGCTCCGGGATTGTTCTCAAAAATGCTTCCCTCAGCAGCAGCATTTATGGAACTTGAATAAACCTGTTGCTGATATTCACCATTTCCAAAAGCTTGCGAATGATGAGTTGGGTGCTCCTTAGCAGTGCTCCACCCTGCATGGACATTCACCACGCCTGCTGGTGGCAGGAATTCAGACCCATGCAAGGTTTTGGGAAGGTGTCTGGAAGGCCGCTGCCTTTCAGAACTCCTCCGCTCTTCAGGAGAGTTGTCAAGAAATGAGACTTCTTGCTTGTACTTAACCTTCTTGCAGGCTTTCCTGGGAGGTAGTTGCCATTTAGAATGACTCCATTTCTTAGCAGCCCCCTCTGAAAATGACTGATCTCCTTGTGGGTCTGCAGGCTTCCCTGTGGACTTTAAAGCAGGCTTCAGCGAAATGCTTTCCTCAGTATCAGCATTCTCCCAATCTGAGAAAACTTGGTGCTTAATTTTAGGGCCCAGACAAGATTTGGAAGGAAAATCTGGAGACAAAGGATCCATAGAAATTTCCCTGTAAGTATCCGGGTTTTCTGCAAAGACTTGCTGTGCCATGAACTTCACAAATGAGGGAGAAGAACTGTTGGGAAGGAGAAATTTCTTAGAATTGCTTTCTTCAGCAGGAGCATTCCCTACGGTTGAGGGTATTTCCTGAACTTTAGACTTCACTGAAAAATAGGTGGAATTTTTGGGAGACAGTGATATCTCAGAATTGCCTCCCCCCACAGTAGCACTCTCAAACCTTGAGGACAGTTTCTGTAATTTTTGTCCGCTAGCAGTCTGGAAAGGACGTCTGGGAAGCTCCTTATGAATGTCTCTTTCGGGGGCAACACTTTCTGGGCCTGCAGAAACTTGTTGCTGCACTTTAGGAGTCATCCATGGCTGGAACGAGTGTCTGGATGAGAATGCACCCATAGGAGTAGTCCATTCTTCAGATGCACTCATTGAATCTGAGATTCTTTGCTTGGTTTTTGGTCTTGTCACAGGCTGAGAATTGTATGTAGAAGGCTCTGAGTCCATAGGAACATTCCCCTCAGTTGTAGAGCTCCCCAGACCTACAGAGACTTGTTGCTCAGGTGGAGAGCTCATCCATGGCTGGAAAGGCTTTCTAGGAGGCATTTGCTCCAGATTACTGCCCCACTCTCTAGAAGTGCTCACTGATCCTGTAGAGACTGGTTGCTTGACTGCTGACCTTCTCAGGGACTGAGAAGGCAGTCTGGGAGGCTGTGGACCCATAGAAACGCTCCAGTCAACAGCAGCATTCTCTGGGCCTGAGGAGGCTTGCTCAAGTGTAGGTTTCAGCCACGGCTGCACAACGTGTCTGTGAGACTCTGACTTCTTAGAAATGTCCCACTCATCCTCAGTGCTGTTCAGACTTACAGGAGCTTGTTGCTTACAATCGGGGCACAGCCAAACCTTGCAGGTGTGCTTAGCAGGTGCTGGCTCCACAGCACCGCACCATTGTGCAGAAGAGCTCGCTGAGTTGAGGCTCGTCTGTGGCTGGAATTTGGGTTTCGTCGAAGGGTGAAAATTGCTTTCACGTGGCAGCTGTTCCACAAAACTGTCCTGTTCGACAGCAGTGCTTCTTGAGTAGGTTGGTTGGATTTGAGGATTTGGGCAAAAATGTCTGCTGTATTGTGGCTCCACAGAAATGACTTCAGCAGCAACGCTCTCTGAACCTAATGACGTGCTTTGTTGGACTATAGGATTCATCAAGGGCTGAGAAGAATGTCCAGGAAGCAGTGCATCCACAAAAACTCTCCCTTCTTCCATAGCTGGGCTCTCTAGGGAAGAGAAAACTTGTTCTCTTTGAGGGTTCAACCATTGCTGGAAAGGGAGTGAAGGATTCCTTAGGGCCGCACAAATCTGCCGCTCGTTAGGAGTACTCTCAGGATATGCAGAGGCTTCTTGCTCATCTACTGCTCTTGTCAGGGACTGAGAATATCTGGGAGGCAACACTTCCAAGGAAATTTCATTCATAGATGTAATTATTGGAGCTGAAGAGGATTTTTGCTCAGTTTTAGGATTCATCAGGTAGTTTGAAGTCATTCTGTGAGACAGTGGTTCCACAAAACTGCCCCACTCCATGGTGCTCTCTTGATTTGCAGAAAACAAACGCACAAATTTAGAATTTACCCATGGCTGGAAAAGGCGGCTGGGAGTCACTGGATCCACAGAGCCACGCTGTGCTGCACAAACACTCATTGAACTGTAGGAGATATGTTGCTGAACAACAGGCGTCATGACCGACGGAGTAAGGCATTTGGAAGGCTCTTGCTTTTTCAAAGTATTCTCTGGATCTGAGAGCTCTTCTGGCTGGTCTGCAGGTTTTTCCAAGGCCTGGTTACGGCAGCTGAGAGTTAGAGCATTCCCTGAGCTGTGCCAGTCCTCGGCATTGTACTTTTCAACAGAACTATTTGATTCTGTAGAGATTTCTTTATCCTTGGACTCCAGTACTGCTTCGGAAGGACATCTGGGAGCCAACTGCTCCACAACAAAACTTCTTGATTCTGAGAGGATTCCTTCATCCTTCCCCGAGGACTGTGAGGAGTGAGCAGGATCCACTTCCTGTGAACCACTCTCCCTGTCAGAGGCGCTCTCTGATTCTGAAGAGTCTTTTTCAGCTTCAGGCTGGGAAGAATCTCCAAGAGCCAGCTGCTGTTCCACACTGCTCAGATTCACAACTAAATTCTCAGATCTTTGGAAGACTTTTTGTTTGTCATTAGGTTTGGCCGGCTGCTTCTCAGAATCACTCTCTTTCTCTAACATACTCTTTGAATCTGAATCTGGGGAGACGTTTGCAGTTTCAGGATTCTCCATAGAAATGCCTCCCTCCTCTGTTATGATATTTGTCATATCTGAAACCCTCACTATGCAGGCCTGGAGAACATTTCCTAGAGGTTCTTCTTTGCACACAGTTGGGATATTCTCTGTTTCAGACTGGGCATTTTGCAAACCAAGGCTTGGAGAAGCTTCTTCCTCTTCTGACTGGTTAGGAGAAGGATCCCTGAACACCTGAACTTCTGTGGTCACTGAAAGTACACCATCTTTTGGGGTTATACAAGGTCTTCCCACTATTGTCAAAGGAGTTACAGATTCTGTCTTATTTGCCACAGTAGCTCCATCTTCATGGTATAGCTGAGGACCACTAACCAGAGACTCCTGTATGTCCTCAGGTATGAGTTGTGGTACTGATGCTTTTTTCCCTTCAAAATCTACACCAGCATCTCTCCTTGTCATGTCACTTTCATCTGAAAGCATCTCCAGAGGGGTAGTGATTTCTGCTTGTGAAACTGCCAGCTGCTCTACCACTTGCTTCTCTGAGAGCAGGTGCCAGGAAGAAGGATTTCTGGAAGTCTGACTGGTAGATAAAGACATGCCTCTGATGCTTGGGCTTTGCATTTTACCAGACTGTAACAAGCTTCTTCCTTTGGATCCATATTCATTTATCAATGAAACACACATTCCTGTTGTTTTATGACTTTTGCTATATGCAGTTGACGCTAGGTTTTTAGTCTTATCTGTTGTGTTTTGATTATGAATTTCAGCATTGTTGCTCTGTTCCTGGTCTGAGTATTCTGTACCAAATAAAAATGAAACAATAAGAAATACATGTGCTTTAGATTTCCTAAAACAAAGATACTCTTCCCTAGCCCAGTGAGTACCTATTTGCTACTCACTTCTCTTGTATGAAGAAGCAGCTGCTCAAGAGAGAGGAGAGAGAGAGACAGACAGACAGACAGACAGACAGACAGAGACACAAACACAGACACAGACACAGAGACACAGAGACAGAGAGACAGAGAAAGACAGTGAGCGCATCTTGGTCACTATTTAAACTTTCAACAGTTGGGAAAAATTAAACCAAAGGTAAATTTAAATTCTGTAAACTGTTCCGTAGGTTGACTCATTTAACCACTAGTCTGGTTCACCATTAGTTATGAGACACATCAGGAGACAAATTTTGAGCTGGGCATGGTGGTGCATGCCTGTAATTCCAGTGTTCTGGGAAGCTGGGAAAGGAAGCTAGTAGGTTGAAGTCCAGCTTAGGCAATTTAAATATTCAGTGAGACTTTGTGTAAAAAGTAAAAAATAAAAAAGGGTTGGAGATATAGTTCAGTGTGAAGGCTGTGAGTTCAATTCCCAGGGCCAGGAGTTGGGGGGCAGGCACAAATTTTAAACTCATAACAATACTTATCTGATGAAACTGACTGGGGCAGTCAGAAGGGTTATTTTTACTTTCTGATTAGGGTTTGTATATTCTACTTGATATTTATCTGAACTGCTTGAAATTCCATACCATGTGTTTTTTTCAGAAGTGTCAATAGGAATTGTCTGGGAGGTAGGATTATGGCCTCCTTTTGTTTTCTACTCTTGTGAATTATAACAATCCTATGTAACATACATTTCAAGCAATACTTGATCACCTTAACAATTGCATCAGTCCACAGGCTTTAAGGCAAACACACAAGATAGCAGCTATCCAGGTTGAGGCCCAGGTGAAAGGGCCCCTCCTTGCTCTTTCTGTCACCACCCACTGTATCCCTGGCTCCATCTAGTGGTTTCATATGGGGATACAACTTTGAGAAGAGCTGGCTGTGCTCCAAACCATTCATTCCCTTAGGTGATGCCAACCAAACATCTGCCTCTACTAAGTATTGATTTAGTTCTACACAATATCAAAGATATGTATTAAAAATAAATCCAACAAAATATTAATCACTTAAGCTTCCTTTCTTCCTCTTTCTTTCCTTCCTTTCTTTCCAGAACAATTTTGTGGTTCTTTCATGGGGACGTGTGTTCCAGAATATTCTATGTATGAACTGACATGTGAAATCTTTTGTGGCAAAAACTTGAAATAACTATTCAACTTAATTTGTGGAATTTGACTTTTGTTTTATCAAACATTGCTTGAAATTAGCTTGCAATTAGGTGGAGCCAACATGCACACACGCATGCATGCGAGCACACACACACGCGCGCGCACAAATACATGCACACATACAAATACACAGAAAGATTATCCTGCTGATGTCATCTGTTGTTTGGGAATTGGATAGGTATTGGCTACTGAGGATATCTGCCCGCAGCTGCACAAGCCCTCTTTGCCCATGAAGGTAAGAGTGGCACTCACTGTTGACATGGCTTTTCTCTACTGGGAGAGAAAGGCAATTTTTAAAAAATCATATGTTTGCAAATTCTGCTACTCTTCTCTGATTCAGCTGTTGAGGAAGAACATTGAAGGGAAAATCACTAACTACATTCTGACACCTTGCCTTATTGAGGAACTCAACATGTACATTGACCTCAAAGAAGAGTAAACAAATTTACAAAAAAAACTAAGGACCTCTCTGGGTGGAATTCAATGAGATAAAATAGGTACCCAGGCATTGTCCTTCACCCAACTCTCATACAAACAGTACTTGTATTTAATTTGGTGGTTTGAATGAGAAGTCTTCACCTCACTGAATGCATCTTAAATTGAAAGTTCTCTGAAAACAAAGGGTAACGGTCCTGGGTAACTCTTGTCCTGTCACATTGTACTGTGCAACGAAGCCTGTGACACGTTTCTGGGTGAGAGTGAAGATGTACCAACCTGTATTTTCTATTTTCACCTTCTTTAGGTCAGTTTCTTTAGCTTTGGTTGGACTCTCTTCTCCTTCACAAGCCACTGGAAGGTTTGGCTCCTCTTCCTTGGATTCCACCTAAAACACGAAAAGAGCTTGAATCTTGCTGATGCATTCTCCATCCACTCATCCATGGTTGCTTTCCCAAAATAGGTTCATACAAATACCATAAAGATGGAAGTTATTTCTAATGGCATGCATCTAGAGGTCTCTTTGAATCATTATACCCTTTGGAAGTGGTTCTTCCAGATCTAGAGTTCCTAATATCTCAATAATATGCTGCAGTCATCATTCTAAAACTCCTTGGAAACTACCAAATCCCGCTAGAAGGCCGTAAATATGAAAATGGGGTTACCGGATCTGACAAAAATCACGCCTTTGGCAGCACTGAAATGCTCAGATTTGCCTCACTGGACCATAATCCAAACTCAAATCCTGCTGGTTTTCTTGCAGGGAATTTATTGAAAATATGAATTGGCTTGCCAATTCAAAAGAAAAAAGAAGTTTGGGGTTTTGTTGGAAGAAAAGACAGAAGATGAAGGATTTAGCCTTCACACTGAATATGCTGAAATTCGTTTAGTATAAACAAGGTTTTAGTGCAGCTCTGGAATTATCAAAGTATCACTGTCCTGAGCAGTGTCTGGAATTTGCTTAATGTAAGTACTTTATGGCAAACATTTAAAGATAAACGCATAACTCTTTTCAGTCCCATTCACAGTGCCTATACAAACCCATAGCAAAATCACTTATTTTTTAGTAAATGAGGTACACTAAACCTGAACTTAAATCTCTTCTCCATCATTTACTAGCCGTGTGACCTTGAGCAAGTTACTCCCTGAATTTCTGTGTCCATATCTAATTAAAGATCAAGAGTCCCACAGGACTTGCAGATCTAAGAGATTCCAGAGCAGCAGGAAGTGGTAGCAACCTCTGCATCATAAATGATCCTGGACCTTTTAATATTTTTCCCTATGTGAAGAAAAGAATCACAGGGATGCAGTAGATGTCCCTTCTCTCTCAGAAGATGCTCCCCAGACCTTTTCTCAGTTAGGTTACACAGAGAAAGAATGGCAGAAGGGACACACTATGTGGCCTTTAGCCAACATTCCCTGCCTCCCAGGTTTGTAGCAAGGTGTCTAGCAGGGATAGTGCATGTATAGTTTAGTGCCTAGTAACTAATCACCTCCTTACATGACACCAAATCAAGGAGATTGTCTTAAGGTCACTAGAAGTTCTCATAAACTCCCCTGTTCCTCCAACTGTTCTTTCAACTTACATTTTGTCCATTTTCTAAAGCAAAATTTCAATGTCAAAGCTAGGAGCAACGTGATGTGGTAAAAAGTGTACTGGGCTGGAAGTCAGAAGACTGGACTCTAGCCTTAGCCCTGCAACCACCTCAGTGTTTGACGTTGGGTAAGTACCTGGGCTACTTGTGGTTGCATATTCTTCCTTGTAAAATGCATGTACTACACAATCCTTCAGTCTCTTCCTGCTCTGATTCATAGACTTTTACTTTCAGCCCAGAATCACTGAGGAAGTAAATGTTTCAGGTTACTGCATCCTTTTGAATTCCAAAATCTTTAAAGTCTTAACTTTTAGTGAAAATCTTTTGCAAAAAGCATTAGTTCCCTATCTTCTTAAACAGGGATCAAGAAATATAATTGAATGGTCTTTGATGATTTGGATAAAGAGTGAGCACAATTTGCCATTCTGAGCTACGGATCTATCAAGGTAGCCAAGGTGTTTTTGGTTTTGCTTTTTATTTTTTAACTTTTTTTTGGAGACAGGGTCTCACCATGTAGCCCAAACTAACCTGGAACTTGTAATTGTTCTACCTCCACCTCCTGCATATCTGGGATTATAGGCATGTACCACACACTCAGATTGGGCAGTGTTCCTGATTTCTTATACCAAATAACCTTTGATTGTTCCCATCACCTCTCCTGTGAACTGTCACTTCACTGATCTGTGGCCATGGCTTCATTTCATTTTTATTTTCTTTTTTCTCTTTTCTCTTCTCTTGCTTTCTCTCTTCCTTCTCCCCTCCCCTCTTTGCTCCTCCCCCTCCCTCTCCTCTCCTCCTCATTTCTCTCTTTGGTACTTCTTCAGATTAAACTCAGGCAAATGCCCTGCCACTGACCTATACCCCTAGCCCATTTTTTGTGTGGTCATATTTGTAACACAGTAGGTTTGTTTAAACACAGCTCTGCTTGTTAGAAAGTCAGGTGGCAGAACCCTATGGTAGCTATGTGAAAGTCTGGAGAGCTTAACAGCTGAGTTCTGAAAGCCTGGAGTTGCTGAAGGCTTGATCTGTGAATGAGTGAGCCTGTGCTGCAGTTTGTAACTCCAGGGTCTCACCTGAATAATAACTAAAAGAATCCTTATCTGAGTTAGGGTTGAATCTCCTCCACAAAGAAGGCTGAATGATTTCCCAGATGCTAAGCTGATAAGCAGGTTCTGCAGGCATTAAATCACTGTTTTTGCTTCTTGAGTCCCTTTTATATAAGTTCTAAATGGGTAAGACATCCCATCCAATGTACATGAATTTGCCCATCCTTTTGAGTATGATAAGGCCAAAAGCATGCCCTTCACTTTGCCAAGCCATATGGATTTCCCAAGCCATATCATCTTCTAGGATTGCAAAGGTTGGAACTCATCTTTTCTTATACAGGAGATTATTCTGTGATTTCTGAAAGAACTTACAGTTTCTTCAAGACTTTTCTTTTGTTGTTTCCAGAGTTTTAAAGCCATCTTGGGTTGAGCAGCTGAAGAATCCAAACAGCTCTGGCTGATATCTGGATTGCTGAAAGCAGCCAGCTGCTGGGCACTACTGAGAAGGGCACATGCAGTTGAAGACTGTGAGTGATCGGGTCCAGATGATGGTTCAGAGAAACTCTGGAAAAAGTGGAAGAAAATAAATGAGCCAACCATATGCCATCACTGGTTTTAAAGCTGGAAATGCTTCTGGAAGAAGAATTTCTAAAAAAAATAAAATGCTTCATGAATCACCACCCCTTCTAACTCTCCTCCGGATTAGTAGGCTCATTAGAGGCAAACTGCTCTATACCTATAGATAAAAGCAAGAAACAGGAAGAACTTTGGGGTGCTCCCTTTCTTCCAAAGTATTCAAGTTTAAGCCTTATAACTTAGTAAGGACCTGCATCAAAATAAAAAATGGCTAGAGATATATCTCAGTCAAAGGCCTTGTATTCAATCTCCAGCATGCCAACAGAGAGAGAGGGAGAGGAGAGGAGAGGAGAGGAGAGGAGAGGAGAGGAGAGGAGAGGAGAGGAGAGGAGAGGAGAGGAGAGGAGAGGAGAAAAAAGAAGGAAAGGAAAGGAAAGGAAAGGAAAGGAAAGGAAAGGAAAGGAAAGGAAAGGAAAGGAAAGGAAAGGAAAGGAAAAAGGGAAGGGAAGGGAAGGGAAGGAAAGGAAAGGAAAGGAAAGGACTTCATTCAGGGGTGCTGCATGAGATAGGAACACAGCACTTAGAGGAGTTTCTCAGATTAGAGGGTTAGAAGGGCATCTGGCTGGCTGATAGGCACAACTTACGTCAGTGAAACCCAGCAAAGGTCTGGGATGTCTGCATTGGAAAAGAGATACAGGCTGTGTGGAGGGAAGAAAATCAGGGTGGAAGAGAGCCTTCACTTTCCCTTCAGGGGACTGGGAGGAGAGAAAAGCCTAACCTAAATGAAAGTTCTGGTGGTGCCCTAAGGGATAACACTTGTTGCCCCATCCCCAATCTCCACCTTCTGCCAGTAGGGGCCAGCATCTCATAAAAAAATATAAGGCCAATTTTAGTCTTCTCTACTTGGATGCTTGGGTCCCCTGATTAGCTCCCTAGTTGCTGTGCTGAGTGAACAAGCAGTAGGGACCAGGCTTGCAGGGAAGCATTTAGGGATATGAGGTACAAATCATAATTTGTAAGCACTTTGAAGAAACATCCATCAAAGCCAGCACATCTGTCTGGGATGATTAGAGACACTTCTTTGGATTTTGTTGTTGCTGCTACATGGGTTTACTACTATGGATGCTAAGACTGAAACCATAACAAAGATGATAAAGCCTCAGGCCTATAGGTGGTTGGGATTTGACTGTAGCATCACAGACTCAACTTTCTGCCTGCAAGCCCACATCTATCCTATGTTAATTCAACTCTTGAATTTATTAATATAGAATTTATGCTTCAGAAAGAAAAATTTTTAGACCTGTGCTCCAGAGAAGTGGGATTTGATCCAGGGCTTTTGCACTTCTTTTTATTTTTTATTTTGAGATCGTGCCATAGCAAGTCACTAAACTGACCAGACAGGGCTTGAACCTGTGATCCTTTACACTCAGCCTCCCAGGGGTTGGGATTATAGGCACATGCCATAGACAAGGGTTTGAAATATTGGCTATAAATAATTTAACTTTGTGAGCCTACTCAAATCTATATAGAGAGGAAACTACATGTCTTAAAATGTGATCTAATTTTATTAGAGATCACAAGGTAATCTCTAAGAAGACTATATTAAAATACATAGAAAAGGAAATGAGAAGGCCATTAAGAGTATGCAAAAAAATTGATTAAACTCCAAACATGCTAGCCACGGATGAAATAAGGAACAAAACAGACACAGTATGTAGAGACAAAAAAAGCAAACAGCAGAGTTTTTACTTGTTAGTAAATTAGTAATGTTGCAACAAATACTCCAATTAACAGGCAGAAATTGGCAGGGAGGATTTAAAAATTGGCCCATCTGTATGTTCTTTCAAGAGATGCCCTTTTTCTCTTTTTGAGACAATGTCTCAGTATGCAGTTTAGGCTGGCCTTGAACTCACTTTGTAGCCTGGGCTGGCCTCAAATTCACAGCAATTCTCCTGCCTCAGCCTCCTGAGTGTCAGGATTATGGGTATGTCCCAATACTCCCAGCAAGAGATGCACTTTAGGTCCAAAGACATAAACAGAATGAAAGTGAAAACGATGATAGAAAGATACTTCAAGAAAATAGAACTGGGGTGGCTATGTTAACAAGTACTACTGGACAAAAATGATCAGATAAGCAAAATACAATTATAGTGGGAGCCCTCAATATCCCACTGTCACAAATAGGCAAGTCAACTAGATAATAATCAACAAAACAATCAGAAATAAACAAAACCTTTAAACAAATGAATTTAATAGGTAAACACTTTACAGAGTGCTCTATATAACAATAGAATACACATTCTTCTGAGTAATACATGGAACTTTCTCCAAAATAAACAACACACTAGCCAATAAAGCATGCTTTAGTAACTACAAAAAAATTGTAATTATGCCATACATATGACTAAATTATAGCATAATGAAAATAGAACTCAGTGGCAAAAGAAACCAAATGCATGGAAATTAAACAATACATTCCTGAATGATCAATGGATCACAGAAGAAATTAAGGAAGAAGTAAAACAGTTTTAAATGATAATGCCCGTAAAACATACCAGATTTATAGGACACAACGAAAGCAGTCCTAAGAGGGAAGTTTCTAAATGTGAATGTCTCATCACGAAAACAAAGCAAGCCCAAATAAGTAACCTAATGATGCACCTCAATGTCTTTCAGAAACAAGAAAGATCCAAATTAAAGCAAGTACAAGAAAGCAAATTTTGTTATTCTCTTACAAAAAAAGTAATAAGATCAAAGGGAGCAATAAAACCCAAAATGTGTAAATTTTGTTGTAATAGAGGGAAAAAAAAAGTGCCCTAAGGGATACAACAGCAAGGGTGTTTAGGTGTGTTAAATAGATGACCATATTAATTTTTTTGATTGGATTATTGAACACAACTATTTGTAGTCTCACTGTTTGAATGTTCACTTTGTATGCTTTGATCCTGTGACCTGAAACACCGTTTCTAAGATGATAGCGTGTAATCTATTAACTGGTGATAGCTCACTGTTTTTTTTTTGGTTTTTTTTTTTGTTTTTTTGTAGTTCTTTATTACTTGTACCCTTACACTGTTTGGTTTTGTTCTGCTTTTTTTTTCTTTTTCCTTTTAAATTAAAAAAAAGAAAGCAAATTTTAAAAATTGAAGCAGGAATCAACGAAACAGATAAAAAGGTGAAGAATCAACAAAACAAAGAGTTGGTTCTTCAAAAGAAAAAATGAAATAAACAAACCCTTAATCTCATAAGAGAAAGGAAAGATGTAAATCAATGCAATGAAAAAAGTGAAATCAAAATGAACACAGCCAAAATTCAAAAGATTATTAGCAACTATTTCTTAAAACTGTATACCAGGGGCTGGGGATTTAGCTCAGTGGCATAAGCGCCTGCCTTGCAAATGTGCGGTCGTGAGTTCGACCCTTGGTACTGGTAAAAATGAAAAAGACAAAAAAAAAAAAAACTGTATACCAATAAACTGGAGAATTTATAAGAAATGGATACATACTTAAACATACATGAATTACCAAAACGAAACCAAGAAGATATAAAAACCATAAATAACTTGATAACAGGCAATAAAATTGAAGCAGTAATTTTTAAAAATCCTACTAAGAAATTCTCAGGTTCTAATGAATGATTGCTGAATTCTACAAGAACGTTAGTGAAGATTCATTCCATGTGTATACTCCCCAAAATTTCTGATGAAATCTAAAAGGAAGTAATATTCCCAGAGCCATTCCTGGAAGCTGGCATTACCCTAATTCCAAAGTCAGACAGGGATCCAACCAAAAAAACAGAACTACAGGCCAGTGTCTTTAATGAACATAGACACAAAATCCTGAATAAAATTCTGGAAGAGGAATGCAACAAATAATTGGAAAGATCATACATTATGACCAAGTAGGATACATCCTAGGGATGAAAGAATGGTTCAACATATATAAATCAATACATGGAAGATATCACATAAACAGAAGCAAGAATGAAAATCACATGGTCATATTAGTAGACAAAGATAAAGCTTTTGACAAAATCTAACATCCAAATATTATAAAAATTTGAAGAAAACAGGTATAGAAGAATCTTATGTTGATCTGATTAATGTAGTTTATGAGAAATCTATTGCCAACATCATATTAAATGAGGAAAAGCTGAAAGTTTTCCCTGTGGAATCATAAAGAAGGCAAAGTGATGTCCACTATCAACACTCCTGTTCAATATGGTACTCAAAACATTAGCCAGAACAATCAGGGATCAGAAAAAAATAAAAGTGATGTGTATAAGAAAGAAAGAACTTAAATGATCATTTTTGCAGACAGCATGATCGTCCTCATAGAAGATAAAAAAACTTCACCAAAAGACTCCTAAAATTAACAACCAAATTCAGCAATGTAGCAGTACATAAATTAACACAGGAGAGTAAACAGCATTCCTATATACCAATTATGAACTCACTGAGAAAGAAATTAGGAAGCGTATCATTCACAATACCATTTTAAAAATTACTTAGTAATTACCCTAACCAAGGAAATTAAAGAGCTCTACAATGAAAACTACAGTGCTGTGAAAAAGGAGTTCAAAGGGGACATTGGAAAATGGAAGGCCATCCCTGTTCCTGAGTACAGAGAACCAGTGTAGTAAAAAAATGACCATATTTCTAAAACTGATATACAGATTTGTTGGGGATCGGGTTGTGTAAGGGTTAAGTTGCTGAGCACGGTGTTCCGAAGACAAGTTAACCCCACAGTTGTGGCAGTTGAGGACACTAGGCTCTCACTCCCTATTCCAAATCAATCTTTGCCAACTTAAGCGATAAGAGGGTTCTCTCAATTCGCAAAATTTACTTCTTAGAATGTCTTCGATCCTTTGTTTCACAAGGCCTGCTCATTTTTGTGGGCTTTTGTTTCAGACGTGCCTTCCATTTTCTGCACCCCCTTGAATTGTTAAGGACTCAATAAATATGGTCAGTTCAGAGAAGTCTTTGTCTTAGC